CCTCCTGGATAGGGATGGTCCCGTAAAGGTTACACACATCTAGAGAGAAGATGATGGATCCAGGCGGGAGGCTCTTGGGGAAGGCAGCGTTGAGTTTAGTAAGGAAAGCCTCTGTGTTGGGTAGATGTGCCGGAATAAGACTTAGAATTTGGGTAAGAATACACTGAATGAACCAGGACAGCTTATCTAGGGGATCACCGCATGCTGAGACTATGGGGCGCAGCGGGTTACCTGTTTTGTGAGTCTTCGGTAGACCATATAATTCTGCTGTTCGGGTGTGCTGTGGGAGAAGGCGTTGTATGTAGTCGTCTGGGATTTTTTGTTTCAGAGTTGATTTAATGAGGTTTTTAGTTTGATCTTCTAGTCTAGGGGTCGGGTTAGTCTGAACTTTTTCATAAAAGGTGACGATGCTTTCTGCCTTTTCTACATAGTCTGACGTATTCATAACTACCAAGCTTTTGCACTTATCAGATCTTTTGATGATGATGTCTTGGTCTTCTTTGATGGCTTTCAACTCTAGCTGTTGTGCGGGTGTCCAGTTGAGTGGTGTCTTTTTTGCTCCTTTGTAGATGCCGATGACTTTCTTTTTTATATCCTCCAGATCGCGTTCTAGATCATTTGATACGACTGGTGGTTGACTGGCGATGGTATCAGAGAAGAACGGGCGTGGCATCTTGGACACTACTTCCGCTTCATCTCCGTCTTCTTCTCCTTCTTCTCCGTCTTTTTCTTGGCTGAGTCTGTCCGGCGGGCTTGGGCCACTTCTCTCGGCTCTTTTCGTCTCTATCACGTTCTTCCATTTCAGTCCGTAAAATGCTCTTTCCAAGCCGACTTCCACAGATTGCAGCAGATCATTGGACACACGATTAGTCAGAGCGTACTTTGGGCCCTTACTCAGAAGGTGTAAGGTGTCGGTATTTAGTCGTTTGTTGGATAAATTCACGAGCTGAGGCTGCCCATCTCGTGACTGTGCTACGGCGGCGTCATCGATGGCGGGCTGACTTGTCGGCTGACGAAAAGAGCCGAGAGAAGTGGCCCAAGCCCGCCGGACAGACTCAGCCAAGAAAAAGACGGAGAAGAAGGAGAAGAAGACGGAGATGAAGCGGAAGTAGTGTCCAAGATGCCACGCCCGTTCTTCTCTGATACCATCGCCAGTCAACCACCAGTCGTATCAAATGATCTAGAACGCGATCTGGAGGATATAAAAAAGAAAGTCATCGGCATCTACAAAGGAGCAAAAAAGACACCACTCAACTGGACACCCGCACAACAGCTAGAGTTGAAAGCCATCAAAGAAGACCAAGACATCATCATCAAAAGATCTGATAAGTGCAAAAGCTTGGTAGTTATGAATACGTCAGACTATGTAGAAAAGGCAGAAAGCATCGTCACCTTTTATGAAAAAGTTCAGACTAACCCGACCCCTAGACTAGAAGATCAAACTAAAAACCTCATTAAATCAACTCTGAAACAAAAAATCCCAGACGACTACATACAACGCCTTCTCCCACAGCACACCCGAACAGCAGAATTATATGGTCTACCGAAGACTCACAAAACAGGTAACCCGCTGCGCCCCATAGTCTCAGCATGCGGTGATCCCCTAGATAAGCTGTCCTGGTTCATTCAGTGTATTCTTACCCAAATTCTAAGTCTTATTCCGGCACATCTACCCAACACAGAGGCTTTCCTTACTAAACTCAACGCTGCCTTCCCCAAGAGCCTCCCGCCTGGATCCATCATCTTCTCTCTAGATGTGTGTAACCTTTACGGGACCATCCCTATCCAGGAGGGGATTGATGCTGTGATAACCCTGATAGGAAATAATATCACCAAAGTCAATTTGTTCGGAATAACACTTTCGGATCTTCGCACACTGCTGAGTCATGTTCTTACTAACAATTTCGTGCGCTTCGGATCTAAAATATTCAAGCAAACGTCAGGCATCGCGATGGGAAACAGGATAGCCCCTCCCGTGGCGATCACCTTTATGCATATACTAGAGACTGGATTTATGTCGAGCTTAGAATTTGCCCCTGCCCTTTACCTACGCTACATTGACGATATTGTCGGGGTCTGGACACATGGGATTGATCGCCTGAACCATTTTTACAACTGTATTAATGCTTACAACCGATCTATAAGCTTCACAATGGAGTCTACTTTCAGCACCGGTCAACTTCCTTTCTTAGATACCCTCATAACAGTATACCCCACCGGTGAGTACACCACGGAATTATACTTTAAACCGATGGCAGCCCCGATCATTCTCCACTTTACGTCCGCCCACCCCATGAGTACCAAGAAGGCCGTTCTCAATTCCCAGATCAAGCGAGCGATGAGGGTGTCATCTGACGACCGAACGAGGGATCGCAGCGTCAAGCGGGTAAAACTTCTGTTTGAGCAGAACGGGTACCCAACAGCCATGCTAGACACGAGCATAAAGAATAACCTTCGCAAGCGTAGTGAACGTAAAACTCAGCGCAACAAAGAAAACGAGATATTCATGCGGCTTCCCTATTTAGACGAAAACGTCGTTAGAAGAGTCAATGGTGTTTGAGAAGATCTAAAACTAATATCAAAGTAGCCTGGATTAGTGGTCCCACAGTAGGAAACAAACTTATCTCTTCCGCCTTCTCTAAACCGCCCTGCCCAGCCGGGACTAAGCACTGTCACACCTGTGAGAGTGGGCTGAAGGGTAAGTGTACTAAGAAAAACGTAGTCTATAAAATTACCTGTAGCCTCTGTGAAAGAAACGGACGAACTGAATTTTATATCGGAGAAAGCACCCGCCCTGTACGTTATCGATTCAACGAGCACCTAAGTGACGCTCGCCTGAGAAAACCGGACACACCACTAGGTGAACATATTGCTGATTCGCACTTTAACGCAAGTAGCACTGAAATCAACTCCGCCTTTACTATTGATATAATCGGTTGGGGACGGGATTCTGCTGAACTAAAAATCACTGAATCCATCAAAATTAGAGACCTAAGGCCCACATTAAACATGATGAAAAGCTCATGGCCCCTCGCTCGTAAACCATAGGTCATAACACACACACACACACACACACACACACACACACACACACACACACACACACACACACACACACACACACACACACACACACACACACACACACACTTCTCTCTCATTCACTCACCCCCTCACTCACTCACACACTCACTCTTTCACTCACTCACTCACAAATTTATACACTCACTCACTTATGTCTACCCTTTGTTTCACATGTTTACTCTACCACGCACACGCACACGTACACACATACACACACGCACACACACATGCACCTAACTGACTTAGGTTGACTGGAATCGAGCTAAGAACAGCGGCAATGTTTTTCAATATGATTATAATGTCAATGTTTACTGACCGGGTGTTGATGATGTATGCGGCTGATGTTGAGGTGAGATTTATTGACATTGTTGTACCTATGATATATTGTGTGCATGTCATGTTGTAGTGTACGTAATGATACATTGTTGTACATTATTTACTTGCCATGTGCAATGTACCACACTATTTGCAACGTATTGCAATACGTTTAAAAAAGTGAGCTGCTATGAGGATGCCTGGAACAATATGATTGTGCTCTAGCTTTTGAAAATCAAAAACATGTTAATTAATTTATTCAAACTTGATGATGGCGTAATGCCGAAAGCTTGTTTTACTGTTTTAGATATTTATTTTGCCTAAAATAAAAACACTTTGACATGCGTGAGATCATTTCAAGCCTCGTTATATTAATAATAATCATGTCATCCATCCTCGCCCATATAAAAAATTTTCCGGACACCCTGTTTAAAAAGAAATCTGAGCATGAGCGGCAGGTCGGCCGTGGGTACCCTTTTGCGAAGCTTATATCTCTGCAAACACTGGAACGATTTACTTGCGGTTATTTTTATCGGGTAGCTTCATTCCTTCTACAAAGTATTAAACCATTACCGATGCATGTGGGTAACCCCTTATGCAGGTGCCACGTGCAAAACGAAAGGGTGACAGGTTTCCAACAATTGAAATATTTCGATAATTACTGGGCCGATTGCGTTGAAACTTAGCATGTAGGTAGGTACCCACCAGGCAATGCATTACCATGCGTCACGGTTGGGATGCTGCTGCACGTGCGCACGTGCAGGGATCGTTTCCAGATCTCAAGAACGACTGAACCGATTGCGCTCAAATTTGGTACACGGTTAAGAATCGGTTAGAAGGGTGCCATGCAAAAGTCAGTTGGGGCCCAGTTTGCACGTGCACACGTGCATGGTGCCGCTTCCAGATCTCGAGAACGGCTGGGCCGATTGCGCTCAAATCTGGCACATCGCTAGAGGCCGGTTAATAGGGTGCCGGGTTTTAGTTGATTTCGATGCTTGTTGAAGTAACCCTAAACAAAGCCTGTATGAAAGTTGGCGTGTCAGCAGGCACTCATTGGACAGTGCCTTTCTGTACCGCTTGTTTGGTGACTGGTGTGCTATTGCGCGTGCCAACGTGCATGGGTCGCTTCCACATCCGAGAACTGCTAACCGATCTGCTCAAATTTAGTACTTTCTTAAAGTCCGCTCGGTAGGGTGCCGGGCATAAGTAATTTTCGAACCAGCTTGCACGTGCGCACGTGCACGATGCCACTCCCACATCTCGAGGGTGGGCTTCGCCGACTGCGCTAAAATTCGGTACATCATTAGGAACCGGTTGGCATGGTGGCATGCGCACTGCGCAGTATTCACGTCGACTTCGTAAGTCGATTTTCTTTCGTAAGTATAATTTGGTATTCACGTCGACACTTCGTAAGTTTTTATCTACGGAGTTCACGCGATTAAAAAAAAATGCGTAAGAAGTAGGTCATGCGTAAGAAAATTCTTACGAAAATAATCGACGTGAATACGGCCCCTGGTCAGTAATTGGAGTTATGTGCCTATTTAGGGCTATTAGTGGACAGGCGCCGGGCTCGGATTTAGCGCACACGTCACCACTATTACCTTATTCTTGGGTCCGAGGTTTTCCTGAATATCCTTCTTTTCTGCACTGTTGATGAGGATGCCCTGGTAGTCGTGGTAGCTGACTCCGGCGAACCCGTGCACGACCAGAGCCTCCTGTGTGATGGGCAGCAGGCCACACTGCATGGTGGACACCTGTCGGCGCACAGTTACCCGGTAAAACTACTAGTGGGCGATGGACACTGCATGGTGGACACCTGTCGGCGCACAGTTACCCGGTAAAACTACTAATGGGCGATGGACACTACATAGTGGACACCTGTCGGCGCACAGTTACCCGGTAAAACTACTAGTGGGCGATGGACACTGCATGGTGGACACCTGTCGGCGCACAGTCACCCGGTAAAACTACTAGTGGGCGATGGACACTGCATGGTGGACACCTGTCGGCGCACAGTCACCCGGTAAAACTACTAGTGGGCGATGGACACTGCATGGTGGACACCTGTCGGCGCACAGTCACCCGGTAAAACTACTAGTGGGCGATGGACACTGCATGGTGGACACCTGCCGGCGCATAGTCACCCGGTAAAACTACTAATGGGCGATGGATTCTGCATGGTGGACACCTGTCGGCGCATAGTCACCCGGTAAAACTACTAATGGGCGATGGATTCTGCATGGTGGACACCTGTCGGCGCACAGTCATCCGGTAAAACTACTAATGGGCGATGGATTCTGCATGGTGGACACCTGTCGGCGCACAGTCATCCGGTAAAACTACTAATGGGCGATTGACACTGCATGGTGGACACCTGTCTGCGCACAGCCACCGGGTAAAATTACTAATGGGCGATGGACACTGCATGGTGGACACCTGTCGGCGCACAGTCACCCGGTAAAACTACTAGTGGGCGATGGACACTGCATGGTGGACACCTGTCGGCGCACAGTCACCCGGTAAAACTACTAGTGGGCGATGGACACTGCATGGTGGACACCTGCCGGCGCATAGTCACCCGGTAAAACTACTAATGGGCGATGGATTCTGCATGGTGGACACCTGTCGGCGCATAGTCACCCGGTAAAACTACTAATGGGCGATGGATTCTGCATGGTGGACACCTGTCGGCGCACAGTCATCCGGTAAAACTACTAATGGGCGATGGATTCTGCATGGTGGACACCTGTCGGCGCACAGTCATCCGGTAAAACTACTAATGGGCGATTGACACTGCATGGTGGACACCTGTCTGCGCACAGCCACCGGGTAAAATTACTAATGGGCGATGGACACTGCATGGTGGACACCTGTCGGCGCACAGTCACCCGGTAAAACTACTAGTGGGCGATGGACACTGCATGGTGGACACCTGTCGGCGCACAGTCACCCGGTAAAACTACTAGTGGGCGATGGACACTGCATGGTGGACACCTGCCGGCGCATAGTCACCCGGTAAAACTACTAATGGGCGATGGATTCTGCATGGTGGACACCTGTCGGCGCATAGTCACCCGGTAAAACTACTAATGGGCGATGGATTCTGCATGGTGGACACCTGTCGGCGCACAGTCATCCGGTAAAACTACTAATGGGCGATGGATTCTGCATGGTGGACACCTGTCGGCGCACAGTCATCCGGTAAAACTACTAATGGGCGATTGACACTGCATGGTGGACACCTGTCTGCGCACAGCCACCGGGTAAAATTACTAATGGGCGATGGACACTGCATGGTGGACACCTGTCGGCGCACAGTCACCCGGTAAAACTACTAGTGGGCGATGGACACTGCATGGTGGACACCTGACAGCGCACAGTCACCCGGTAAAACTACTAGTGGGCGATGGACACTGCATGGTGGACACCTGTCGGCGCACAGTCACCCGGTAAAACTACTAATGGGCGATGGACACTGCATGGTGGACACCTGTCGGCGCACAGTCACCCGGTAAAACTACTAATGGGCGATGGACACTACATGGTGGACACATGTCGGCGCACAGTCACCGGGTAAAACCAGTACAAGTAATGGACACTGAACGCCGGGCGGTACGGCAGCTGTTGCTAACGGCGGCAGCTGGAGCCGCTCGCCCTCCACTGGCGCTACCGACCCTCCACTGGCTCCACAGACCCTCCACTGGCCCACCGTGCCTCCACTGGCGCTACCGACCCTCCAATGGCGCTACTGATCCTCCACTAGCGCTACCGACCCTCCGCCCCACCGACCCTCCAATGGCTCTACAGACCCTCCACTGGAACTACTGACCCTCCACTGGAAATACTGACCCTTCACTGGCACTACTGACCCTCCACTGGCTCTACAGACCCTCCACTGGAACTACTGACCCTCCACTGGCACTACTGACCCTCCACTGGCTCTGCAGACCCTCCACTGGCTCTACAGACCCTCCACTGGCTCTACAGACCCTCCACTGGCTCTACAGACCCTCCACTGGCTCTACAGACCCTCCACTGGAACTACTGACCCTCCACTGGCTCTACAGACCCTCCACTGGCACTACTGACCCTCCACTGGAACTACTGACCCTCCACTGGAACTACTGACCCTCCACTGGCACTACTGACCCTCCACTGGCTCTACAGACCCTCCACTGGAACTACTGACCCTCCACTGGAAATACTGACCCTTCACTGGCTCTACAGACCCTCCACTGGCTGTACAGACCCTCCACTGGCTCTACAGACCCTCCACTGGCTCTACAGACCCTCCACTGGCTCTACAGACCCTCCACTGGCTCTACAGACCCTCCACTGGCTCTACAGACCCTCCACTGGAACTACTGACCCTCCACTGGAACTACTGACCCTCCACTGGCTCTACAGACCCTCCACTGGCTCTACAGACCCTCCACTGGCTCTACAGACCCTCCACTGGCTCTACAGACCCTCCACTGGAACTACTGACCCTCCACTGGCTCTACAGACCCTCCACTGGCTCTACAGACCCTCCACTGGAACTACTGATCCTCCACTGGAACTACTGACCCTCCACTGGCTCTACAGACCCTCCACTGGAACTACTGACCCTCCACTGGAACTACTGACCCTCCACTGGCTCTACTGACCCTCCACTGGCTCTACAGACCCTCCACTGGCTCTACAGACCCTCCACTGGCTCTACAGACCCTCCACTGGCTCTACAGACCCTCCACTGGCTCTACAGACCCTCCACTGGAACTACAGACCCTCCACTGGCACTACTGACCCTCCACTGGAACTACTGACCCTCCACTGGAACTACTGACCCTCCACTGGCACTACTGACCCTCCACTGGCGCTACCGACCCTCCACTGGCGCTACTGATCCTCCGCCCCACCGACCCTACACTGGCTCCACAGACAATCCACTGGCCCCACCGATCATCCACTGGCGCTACTGACCCTCCACTGGCCCCACTCACGGCGATGGCGTCGGGCAGGTGGACGTGCAGCGCGCACATGACGTCCGGCCGCGTCTCGTGGATGGCCGAGTGGAGCACGTAGCCGGCCAGGTTGACGCCGGCCGCGCTGGAACCGGGGTCGAGCACGGCGCCGGCCAGGTCGACACGCACCAGGTTGCTGGCCGTCACCTCGTCGTAGAGCAGGCCGAAGGGGTTCACCAGGAAGTGCTCGTCGCTGGCGGTGATCCGCGCCTGTCGCATGGCCGCGGTAAGGGTCAGCGGCGCCGCCCGCCTCAACACACACAACACGGACTCAACGCGGCCAAAGGGCGAGCGTGTCCTCGCGCCGGGCAGCCCGCCGTACCGGGACGTAGTTGTAGATGTACCGTGATGTTACTGTAGAATCGCGATGTGGCTGTAGATGTACCGTGATGTTACTGTAGATGTACCGTGATGTGGTTGTAGATGTACATACGATGATTTGGTTATACCCGTACCGTGATGTGGTTATACCCGTACCGTGATGTGGTTGTAGATGCACCATGATGTGGTTATACCCGTACCGTGATGTGGTTGTAGATGTACCGTGATCTGGTTATATATCCGTACCGTGATGTGGTTGTAGATGCCCATGCTCCAGCCGCGGGCGTCCACCAGTCGGTAGAGCGAGGCCAGCTTGCAGCGCACGGCCTGCTCCTCGGCCGAGTACGGGCAGTCGGCGCCCAGGTCATTGATGGCGATCGGCCGCAGCCCTGCGCGCACAGGCACACGCCAAGTCACTGCAGGGGCGGACTGATAACCGAACACTGTAACGTGTGGACGTCTGCGGGCGATTGACAACAGCTTGACAACACGCATTACCACTGCAAAAGCATTATTTTCTAAATGTGGTTAATGAGCCATATAAGCACTATGTAGTTTGTTTCTCTATTGGCCAACGTGATAAGCTTATCGAATGACCTCCTGTTGGCACTTGTGAGACACCTGAGAGCATCTGTGTTACGAGGGGCGATAACAATTCAATAAGGCCACAAGCCAAGGAGTCGGGACAAAGTTCGACCAGCGTCTAGTCGGTTTCTCAATCAGATAAGCCCGAAAAGCCCCAATGGCGGACATTGGCCGATTGGACTTAGGTATGAAAGCACAGTTTCATGGCAGCCAGAAACGGGAAGCGATTTACCATACTGCGATGACAGTGTTTGTCCTGCCTACTGCATGGGAAGTTCAATCTATAATATAAATACTTTCAGGCAAGTGCATTTTTTTCCCAGCATTTCCGCGGTGTTTGAATCGGAGTCGGTATTGTTATCGCCACAGCACGGTAAGACACAGGCATGCTGTCTCCGTGTCGCAAACACTCTGGAATGGGGGCGGGCTGCTGGGTGCCAGCGGTGAGAACCCTACCTGGTAGGCTGCCGAAGGGACGGGTCAGCCGGGCGACTGTCGGCGACCTCCGCAACACGGTCTCCGCCGGCAGCGGCGGCGCGGCGCGCACCAGACGTGCCAGGGAGCGCAGCATCGTACCTCCGCGGGCACGACGGACGGTCGGACGGACGGCGGCCGCTGAGCGAGCACTGCCGGCGCGCGGAGAGGCCCAGCGGCGCGGCGCCGGTCCAAGGTCAGACACCGCGCCACGGGCGTACACACGCAAGAGGACTTCGGGAGTCACAGCAGCGCCTTTATCACACAGCGAGCGTCAGCTGGGCGGCCGAACGGGGAAGGGGGGGGGGGGGGGGCGGCACCACGCCCCTCTCAAATTCCCGAATTAACAAGGTCTCAAGTAGAGGTCTTACGAGAATCATCAGGCGCGAAATCTCCCGCCCCGAATCGTCCCATCGACATTGTATGAGCGTCACCGGTGCTCAGGGGCATTGATTACACACAAGAAGCATGGTAGCGATAGACGGGATTGGCCATTATGAAGAGTTTGTGATACTTTCTCAGATATGGCCGATTGTAAGGACTCTGTTTCAGTGGACATTGCGTTGTCAAATAATCCCTTTGTGGCCATCTTAGTTTGTTTTTCTTGGTGCTCCTGCGGCGGGATCTCATTCATAAAGGAGGTCGTAGGAGAAAGGAGCCTCGTGCTTCAGTAGGTGTCACGTTGGCAAATTGAAAAGCTGCGCCCTACCCAGGTCGGCTGTCCCGCACGACCTTCATCGGCTGGGTGCGGAGTGAGCCTCAGGGGCCGTCGTATGCCACAGCTGCATCGCTGGGCTTCAGCTTCACGGGCCGGGTGCTACGACCCGCCAGCAGTCTACAGAGGCCGGGTGCTATGGCCCGCCAGCAGTCTTCAGAGGCCGGGTGTCGATCGCCCTCCAGCAGTTTTCAGAGGCCGGGTGTCCATCGATGGAGTGGCGGCAACAAGCAGTGGAGGCTGAACAAAATTCGGCTGATCCCGAGCCATGACGCTCACAAGTCACAACTAGATGACACAACTCGGGAACTTGGTGCTTTTATTGCGCATCAGCAATAGCAGATGACACACCGTTTTCACACACGTCGTTAACACGATAAATATTACAATTAACAATAATCAAAAATGGGATGAATGGAGGTCTATTCAATACGAGCAGCAACGTCATTTGTGGGCGCTGCGATAAGCGAATTTGCCAAGTTGGCTATAGGCGGGACCGAAATTACTGCGGTGATGAGACACTGAAAACGATCATCGGCATCTTGACGAGAATGTCGCCGTGTCACAAAACTTTGACCAAGCTTGCCTCCACACTATTACCACAGCCAGCTAGCTACGTTACAGGCAATAGAAGAACACATACTACATAGTTATGAGTTGACAATGGCAAAACGACTTTATGCCATCTGTCAAGTGAAAATGAACATTTTATCGGGCAATTCGATGGAGTTCAAACCCTACAAACATAATCCACACAATTATCGACTCTGCGGAAAAGCAAAACAAAACAAAACACACTTGGCATATCAATGTATGAACACGACACGGCCGGACGTCGGCGCAGTCGCCGCACTCACGGCTAGTTCCGTCCGGTCACACCAGCGGTCCTTTCCGCGTGTTAGTGTACATTTTCATCACCTTCTTCCCGGGGGCGAGCGTGTCACCGAGCCCCGGCCGCTTCTTGCGCGCCTGCTGGCCGTCAGCGGCCGGCGGCGGCGGCGCGGCCGGCCGCCCCGGCTCGGCGGCCGGCGGCGGCGCGTCGCTCGACTCCTCCTCTGCGCCGTCGCGCTGCAGGTCCGAGTCGTGCGCGAACTTACAGCCGCGCCCGAAGCGGCAGCGGCCCTTGCGGTAGTTCCAGCACACCTGTTTGCCGTTGATGTGGCGCAGCTCGGTGGGCGCTGTGGTCAGTTTGACGTGCTTCTCGAGCACGGCGCGCCGAGCGTCCTCCTCCTGCCGGTACGGGTTGGAGAACACGGACGCGCCCGACAGCTGCGAACTGAAGCTGGGCAGCGGCAGCCGCTCGGCGGCCGGCTCCGGTCTGCCAGAGAGACGCCGTCAATCAGCTGAGACTGCGGCGGACAGACATCCGACACCGGCACACGGACAGCGTTATCAGACACCGGCGCACGGAGAGCGTTATCCGACATCGGCACACGGAGAGCGTTATCCGACACCGGCGCACGGATAGCGTTATCCGACACCGGCACACGGAGAGCGTTATCCGACACCGGCACACGGATAGCGTTATCCGACGGCACACGGAGAGCGTTATCCGACACTGGCACACGGACAGCGTTATCAGACACCGGCGCACGGAGAGCGTTATCCGACATCGGCACACGGAGAGCGTTATCCGACACCGGCGCACGGATAGCGTTATCCGACACCGGCACACGGATAGCGTTATCCGACACCGGCACACGGAGAGCGTTATCCGACACTGGCGCACGGAGAGCGTTATCCGACACCGGCACACGGAGAGCGTTATCCGACACTGGCACACGGAGAGCGTTATCCGACACCGGCACACGGAGAGCGTTATCCGACACCGGCACACGGAGAGCGTTATCCGACACCGGCGCACGGATAGCGTTATCCGACACCGGCGCACGGATAGCGTTATCCGACACCGGCACACGGAGAGCGTTATCCGACACCGGCACACGGATAGCGTTATCCGACGGCACACGGATAGCGTTATCCGACACTGAAAAGTTAACACCGAAATTGAAGTGATAATACATTAAAATCAAGAATGCCAAGGCCATTAACTGAATTAAAGCGTCCTTCGTTATGAGGCGGCCCATGTAAAAGTTGCTTCAGTGACCTCATGGTTACCTCACGTCCAGAGCATCAGCCCAGCCAGGTAGACTAAACTGTTAGCATGAGGTCAACTAACGTGTTAGCGAAATATCTTTAAGAATAATATATTTTTTCGGCACTGCAACGTTTTTCTTTTCAATAAATTTAGCTCGAATGTTTGAATAGACGGATTGAAAGAGCCGGAGCCCATGCTAAGCAGAGCTTGTTGCGCGGGCCCCTACCCCTACCGTTCGACAGCACAATTCGCGTTGTGTCAGACGAAGTTGGATGCCCTTCAAAGTCCAACACAGACCAACTGACTTTCTCACTCAATTGACTTCTGCTGGTTGAACTGTTCATCACACCCACCGCGACCACCTCCTTCAGGAGCCTCGCATAGCGAGCGCCGGAGCGACTCGAACCCGGGCTCTCACCCACTACCGGGAGTCCAATGTTTTACCAACTGAACCAATCAAGGCTCAAGAGATATGAAGGGTGGAGACTTCCACTGGCGTCCAACTGGCGTCCAACTGAGCAGACGTCTAAGTTGGCGTCTACCTTGGCGTCTAACTGTTGGACGGAGACTTCCAAGCTAGAAGCGTCTCAAGTTAGCTGTCGTCAGATAGATACAGCCGCCGTCCAGCTAGACGTGTCTAAGACTTAGACGCGTCTAGCTAGACGCAAAATGGAAGTCTCCACCCATGAAGTGTTTTTCCGCAATGTCATAATGGGGAAGTTTGACCTCCGGTGATCTTTGATAACCTGATCCAACAGTAAGCAGAACCTTTTTATGATTTTCTATGATTTTCCAACGCTATTTAACGTTCTTCGTTACGTGGCCCGGGTGCAGAGTTCAAGAGGGGTGGCGTTAGAAATGTTCTCCGCGCCTGGATGTGTGACCATCAGATTCAGACCACCATCAACTTCCGTCGATAAGCGATGTAGCCAAATTTATGGGTTTGCATGGTTCAAAGCGTAAAGTAATCATTGCGCCCCACTAAAAACAATTTTACAATCGTTTCACATGGAACTGAAAATTTCTAACACTTACTTCGGTTTTGCACTAGTATCTTCTGATATATCTGGCTGCTCTGGATCCGACTCAGAACTGCTGCTGGACCCGTAATCCGCCACCAGCGCTGCCATCACAGCCCTACGAAAGGAGGGAAACGTCATTAGTCCCCCTGCTCTATGTATCCGCTCGGTGTCGGCGTCCGCCAGGGTCGAATAACGCTCTCCGTGTACCGGTGTCGGATAACGCTCTCCGTGTGCCGGTGTCGGATAACGCTCTCCGTGTGCCGATGTCGGATAACGCTCTCCGTGCGCCGGTGTCGGATAACGCTCTCCGTGTGCCAGTGTCGGATAACGCTCTCCGTGCGCCAGTGTCGGATAACGCTCTCCGTGTGCCAGTGTCGGATAACGCTCTCCGTGCGCCAGTGTCGGATAACGCTCTCCGTGTGCCAGTGTCGGATAACGCTCTCCGTGTGCCAGTGTCGGATAACGCTCTCCGTGTGCCGGTGTCGGATAACGCTATCCGTGTGCCGGTGTCGGATAACGCTATCCGTGTGCCGATGTCGGATAACGCTCTCCGTGTGCCGGTGTCGGATAACGCTCTCCGTGCGCCAGTGTCGGATAACGCTCTCCGTGTGCCGGTGTCGGATAACGCTATCCGTGTGCCGGTGTCGGATAACGCTCTCCGTGTGCCGGTGTCGGATAACGCTCTCCGTGCGCCAGTGTCGGATAACGCTCTCCGTGTGCCGATGTCGGATAACGCTCTCCGTGTGCCGGTGTCGGATAACGCTGTCCGTGTGCCGGTGTCGGATAACGCTCTCCGTGCGCCAGTGTCGGATAACGCTCTCCGTGTGCCGATGTCGGATAACGCTCTCCGTGTGCCGGTGTCGGATAACGCTCTCCGTGCGCCGGTGTCGGATAACGCTATCCGTGCGCCGGTGTCGGATAACGCTCTCCGTGTGCCGATGTCGGATAACGCTCTCCGTGTGCCGGTGTCGGATAACGCTGTCCGTGTGCCGGTGTCGGATGTCTGTCCGCCGCAATCTCAGCTGATTGAAGGCATCTCTCTGGCAGACCGGAGCCGGCCGCCGCTACCCAGCTTCAGTTCCCCTTAGCTGGTTTTATTCCAGCTTTTAGAAGTTGTTGAAATCGATGGGTTTCCAAGCTATGAGTCCATGTCAGTCTCGGATATATCTTATTGTTTTGAGATCCTTCTGGTGGCCTAAAAGGGCCCTTTATTGAAAGTCCTAGATCTGCCTCCGTTGACCTAAAACGAGCCTTACTTGTCCCCAGAAGCAGCTAAGAAGGCCTTCTGGTGTCCTCAGACGGTCCTCGGTTGAGCCCAACCCAAAGAACCATTTGTTGCTCCTAGACGGCTCTCTTAACCCTATTCCTGGCGGGCTCCGCCGGGACAAGAAACTGGCGGGGGGGGGGGCGATTCGGCCCCCCCTTCAGATCTCAAAAACTACACATCGCAGCGACAAACGGCGAACGGCGTTTGATAGGTCGTTTAAAGATCTACAACTTTTACACAAAACATTTTCAGGTCAGGTCAATATTGAGGTCACCAGAGGTCATCAACGATAAAATGTTTTGGAATTAGTTACCTATATAACTTTTAAACTAAGAAACATAGAGACATAAAACCAATACATTTTTTGTTGCTCTCGCCGAGGCAATGCGAAATAAGTATGTGATGACCTTCACAGGTCAATTTGAAATTTGACCTGAGGTCAAGGTCAGGTCATTCATCAATGAGGTTGTGGGGTATGGTCATGCTGCATACCATACCAAACGACGCGCCTTGACCAGGCGAGCAGTTTGGTACCCAAGTCTTTAGCACCATCATGTCGTGATTTATTTACAGAAAAACGATTTATGACGTCACATGACCTCAGATGACCTTTGCCGGTGCCCCTGTCAATTAGCGGCACCAGGATCATCACCGATGAGATAATCTTCCATAATACTGAAAGAATTGGGTGGTTTTGACTCGTTTACACGAAGCAGGAGGCGTTTCAATATTTTCCCATAGGCTTGCAATGTAAAGGTCACGAGTCTGGCCTGACCTCAGGTCACAGATATGAAAATTCTGAGATATACAAATTGCACATACTGGTACCCTAACTAAAGCCTGAAGAGAAGAAATTGATCGGTCAAAAACTCTAGCTCTGGCGTGATTGCAAACTTTTCTGAGGTAGGGTCACCAAACCGCCTCTGGTGACCTGACCTGAGGTCAGATCAACTCAAAATTTTCAGAAATGTTGCGTAAAAGCCTTTTAGTAAAAGTCAGAAAATTTGAGCTTCCTAGCTCAAAGCGTTTGGGAGAAATAACCAAAAAACCTCAGGGGGGGGGGGCTCCTGACTCCTGAGGCCCCCCGCCCAGGAATAGGGTTAACCCTCGCCGGACCTATTGGTTTTCTACATACGCGCCGGCCGAGGGGGGGGGGGCGGGTACGACCGCCCCCCCTCGCCGTTTCGCCCCTGGTGGAGCTAGCGCGTCGCGGAAAAAACGAGCGTGTGCGCCGTTACGAGACGCAGAGATTGGTACCCGATTTTAAGGTCCTAGGTCAACCGGTGACCTCGCATCTAACAGCATCAAAGTGACGCATCTAACCTTGCAAGGAGTGCATCAAATCACGATTCTGTGTGCTTGAGATAGTTGGAGATCGTTCCCGGCGCCAGAATAGCAGTTTTCATTTTTCCCCATTGACTTATAATGGTGAGGTCACGAAAATGACCTGACCTCATATGACCTTTAGGAAAAATCCGAGATATACAAGTTGTGAGACTCATAATGGATACTAGATCCTGCAAGTTTCATTTCCCTGTGACATCTCCTCTGGCAGTGAGGGCGTTGCGAAGTTGCGACATCTGAAGACCGTGCAGAGGTTCACTTATGACGTCATAGGTCAGTGACCTGACCTGACCCAAAAATGCGGTTGGTGTCAAAAGATGCGGCTTGAATCAAAGGTCAGGTATGCCAAGTTTCAGCTCTCTATCGCCAGCGTGTTCGGAGCTATCGCGAAAAAAACCCTATGGGGGGGGGGGCGGCACCCGCCCCCCCTCGGCCGGCGAGGGTTAAGAAGAGATGTGGCGTCGATGGATTTTCGGCGACTACGACTCCGGGTTCGAAAACCGACTCCCAACATCGACCCCAGCCCCGATTACGGTCACCACTTACTCACGTCTCGGTGATCACGTCGGAGATTGGTTTCATCTTGCCTGAAAAAAATGCCCTATGCGTTCTAAGCTCTTGCATTGCAAATTTGCTGTATAAATTAGGTGCACACTCATCTAAAGTGGATTCTCCATTTTCGAACCTAGTTAAGTTAATGAAGTTAGTTAATGAAGTTAATGAAGTTAAATAGTTAATGAAGCCCAACTTAAAACTGTTGATTTCTGAATTAAAACAATCGAAAATGGGTTAAAACACGTGACATTCAGCTTTTAAAAATTCAGTTCCAATGTGCTTCAATGACACGCAAATTTCGAAAAATACGACAGCGTAGCGTTACAAATGAATGTTTAGTTGTGACAGCTCACATGTTTTGCCTTGTGTCATAGGATGAAACCAAGGCGATAAAACTTACCTACCTTTTTCACACAGACTCTGGCTGAAGAAAAGGCGCGCTTGAAAAAATAAGGAATGGTCTTGTCCATTTTATTAGCTGATCAGATACCTCCCAACCTGCAAAATTGGTCCGTATATACCTATCTGCCTTTACTCTGGCTAGCTCCAGCATTTTTACCCCGGCCGAAGTACTGGCAAAAGACTCAGTCAACAAAATAAGTCTGGGCCGTATTTGGGTTTACTCTGGCTAGCTGCGGCATCTTACTCCGGCCGAGGTACGGGCAGGGTCTGGGGTTCTACTGGAGCCGACACGCGATCCCGGAGCTCGCTCGAACCACAGTCGGACGTAAGCCGTAGCAGTCGTGCCTTACCTCAACCGTACTTCAGTCACAGATAGCCAGAACAGCTACGAGACAGCCGGACCTAGCCATAGCTGATAGCACGCCTTGGCAGACAGCCGGACTTGAGCCGAATTTGGCGGTCCGAAAACATACCAACTTTGGAGCGCAGCGCTACGGCAAAAGCTGGCTAGCCGGAATAGATGGCCATATCGACCCAAACCTCTGTTCCGATGGCGTTCCGTTTACACCGGCCCAAATCTGGCATGTCTGAGTTGCCGGGGCAAAACAGACTTGAGCCAAAACAAATTGCTAACTAGGGCTGGGGGTGGGGGCTCTACTACAGCTGACACAAGGTCCCGGAGCACACCATCACTGTGGCCGGACTTATGCCGAGCCAGTCCTCGCCGTAGGTACCTCAACCGTGCTTCAGCCACAGTAAGCTAGAGCAGATACGAGGCACTGCCAGACATAGCCGTAGCACGCCGGAACGGTGCCGCACTATAGCCGTAGCGAAACCACACCAACTTCGGAGCACTACGGGAAAGATGGCTAGCCGGAATAGAGCCATAGCGACCCAAGCCCCTGTTCCGAAGGCGTTCCGCTTACACCCCGGCATCTCGGAGTTGCCGGGGCAAAACAGAATTGAACCAAACCAAATTGCTGGCTGGGTACCTATAGACGTCAGATGGCGTAGGAAGCACGCCATTGCGTTGGATTGTGCCAACGCACAATCTAGTTCTAGTACCTACCTATTGTATAATAAAATCGATTTCTGAGGGATCTGCGGGCCGGAACGCAATGTTAGCTGGCAGCTGCTGACAGTGGCGTAGCCAGAAATCAGCAAAAGGGGGGGCCATGGTGCTCGCGGGGGGCGACTTTTTCCCTTGAGTGGGGCGCCATTGTCAGCTAGTGACAGACGTGTCAGTCTAAAATGTAACGTCAACGTTTTGTTTATGCCTGAATTAATAGGTGTTCCGAAATACGAGTGTAAGAGCCAGGTTTCGCTAGGTTTTCATAACATCCATTGAAAGCAATCTGCAGTCCAGTTTTTTTTTAATCCATTAAGTCTTCATCTTGAGGGATACCGCGCCGTGCTAGGGGGGGGGGGCGTTTTTACCCCCCCCCCCCACTCAGGTGTTTCGCGAAGATCTTAAAAACGGCGGCGCTGCGCGCCGCCGCTTTTGGCACACCTGTTTATACACCCTTTCTGCACATGTGAAAATTTCAAACACGGTTCTTTCAAGGTCAGGTCACCAGGTCTCAAGTGACCTTATCACCTTATCTCATGGAACAAGTTTCAATGCTCGCTATAGCTACACCGAATGAAGGATCGCTTTGAAACTTTCAGCGATTGATAAGAGTAAAAGTAGGTAGGTATGTATAAGATGTATTTCGTTGTATTTCGATATCTGTGACCTAAGGTCAGGTCAATTTTGCGACCTCCCCATTATAGGTAAAGTCAACGGGAGAAAATTTAAATGCGCCTCTTTTGGACGTACATCGTTCTAAACACTCTCAAACATCGGCTTATGGGTAAACACAACACACTGAATAAGAAAATTTGCACCCATGACCCCTCTGTGTGCCCCTGAGGTCGTCTCAGGTAATGAAAGGTCCCCGGCAGTTTTTTGACAATAACTTTTGATAGGAGCATGCTAGACTGGTGAAAACACCTCAGGTGTGTTCAGCTCAACGATACGGATCGACGGATATGCAACATGACCTATTTCGGTCACGTCATGACCTTGACCTGGGGTCAAATTTTCCGAATGACTTTTCAAGATCAAATTATAGTTAAATTGACGCGGCTCGACGAGAGGAACACGATGCTGGGAAAAATAATATCGTGACTCTTACGCCAAAAGTTATTACCGAAAAACATCGCAAGAACGGCTATTTTTGGAGTTTTTGCCATCTGGCGGCTAAACTAATGACCTGAGGTCAAATCAGAGGACAAATTCAAGAAAGACTGCTAAAAGGGCTATGGAATGCGCTGTTCTGCGACGCCGTAGCTGTATTGGTTCCCAAGTTATGCGCCGGTTTTTCAAAAATGTTGAAATATGCAAAATTTGATTTTTGATGATCTCTGGCGACCTGACCTTTGACTAGAGACCAGTTTTACCAACAGAAAAATTGCCGCCTGCCGGAATTGTTTGCCTAAAGACCGTTTCACATACGGAGCGTAAATGCGATGGGCACGTAAGCGGATAGGGCTTTACCGTATGTGAAGTGGCCTAGTAAAAAAATTCTGGCAGGCGCCTACTTTTCTGTTAGTAAAACTGGCCTCTGACCTACAAATGACCGTTGTATTTCCCTCATTATTTTTACGCTCCTTCGAAGTCACTTACTGCGTGTCGCTACATGGCCCACTGCCCAGGAGCCGAGTTAGACAGCGGGCGTGAACCCCCCCCCCCCCCCAGCACTCCACAGAAAACTCAGACCACCAGCACGGCGCGGGTTAAGCACGATATAGTAAACGAACTCAGTCTACGAACATTTTTATAAGACGCATGTATGCGAATGCGAGACGGTAAAATATACGTTGATCAACCATGGACACATTATTTGCAAGAAGTTGTCTCCAGGTTCACTCGCTGATACAAACTGACCTGTGGGCTGCGGCCTGCGGTCGACCGGGGTGGCCGTGCTTAGAACCTCAGACCGCACGTGTGTAGGATTAACACCGCAACTAACTGCCTAAATCTGAATCGAGGAACGACTTGAACATGACAACACACCAAGTCAAGTCACCCTAGTTTTGATGTTTCTTATAGGTACCTTGGTTTGGATACCGGTTGCGACCTTCCGCAAGCAAAAGATGCACAATTGAATTGCTTATGATTGTGCTTATAATTATCGTTCGCTCTCAGATTTCAGTTAGGATTCCGCCCTGATTTTGAGGGGGCAACCGTGGTGAAGGGTCGGCAATGGCATGACATTAGGAAGCGGCACCGTGCCGAGGGGCGGCATCACCAGAGATGGGCGCCATTGCGCCATTGTGATGGTCCGACTGTGACGTTCAGAGTGGCACCAGTGGTTTCAAAGGGGCGCCATCGATCTTGGATGGGACGACTGAAGTCCCCGTTCAGGTGGGCGCCATGAGGGGCGCCAGCGACCTTGGATGGGGCGAATGTGATCTTCAGAAGGGCGCTGAGGGGCGCCATTGGGCTTGGATGGAGCCACCGTTGCCTTCAGCAGTGCGCCGGACGCTATGGAGGGGCGCCATTCAGCTTGGATGGGGCGACTGTAGTCTCAAGGGGCGTCTCGGATGGGGCGACTGTAGTATCAAGTGGCGTCTCGGATGGGGTGCCGGTGCTCTAGAGGGGCGCCATTGGTTTCAGGGGGGCGCCATCGATCTTAGATGGGGCAGCTGTAGTCTCCGTTCAGGTAGGCGCCAGTGGCTTTTGATGGGCGCCATCGACCCTGGGGTTTGGAATGCTCTGCCCTCTGGTTTCCGGAGGGGCGCCCTTCAACATTGGGGTTCAGGTCCTCGTTGGGGGTGCCCTGGAGAACATTGGGAGTGTCCAGGTACCCCCCAAAGAGATATTAAGTTCGATCCCTGCTTGCATTTCACTTTTTATTTCATGTTCCCTCAGTAAAACGGCATCAGCCTAGTTGGCGCTACTTGGGGCGCCATCTGGGCGGCTAGGCGAAAAGGGGGGGCCATGGCCCCCATGGCCCCCCCCCCCCTGTCTACGCCACTGGCTGCTGATACCAGCCGCGGGCCGGACGTCAGATCGTCGCGGGCCGGATCCGACCCGCGGGCCGTAGGTTGCCAACCCCTGGTCTAAAACAAAAGTATCGCTTTAGCCGCGACAAAATGTCTTGGTAAGGTCAACAAATGCAATATTTTCCAGTAAAAAGGCATCGAGTGCAGACTTTGAGTAATGGAATGTCGATTTCAACGTCTGAATCAGAATTCGACTTCGGCCAGAACTGTCAACTCCGACCGACTTCGACACCGACTACAGGCAAAACTGTCGACTCCGACGGATTCCGCAGGTCTGTCTCTGTTGGCCTCAGAGCTCAGATGGCCCCTCAGAGCCCTCTGAGCAGAGGATCTCAGCTCGCAGAAGACTTTCATAAGTCTGAGAAGGACAAGGACCCTCAATTGGTTCATTGGCTCAATCAGTTCTGTTGACCTCAGAGACCAGGGCTGTATATTGACCTCAGGGCTCTGAGGGCCCTCTGCTCACCTTGAAGGGCCACTTTTGGCCTCAGAAGGGCCTTTGTTGGTCTTAAGCCCCTGGTTGGCCTCAGAGGGCCCTCTGTTGTCTTGGAAGGGACATCTGAGGGGGTACTTGTCAACATTGATGGGTCCTCTGAGAAATTAGGGGAACCTGTTGTGAGATGAACAGAGGGCCATCAGGGCCATCAGGCCAAATGAAGAGCCCTGAGACTAATGGATGGCCCTTTAAGGCTAATAGAGAACCATTTAAGTTCTTCAGTCTTTCTAAGTTCAGTCCTTCAAAGTTCTTAACCTTAAAAAACAAACAAAATGAGTCCTTCGAAGGGACTTCAGGCAGGCTTACAGAGGGCCCTCTGTGCCCTGAGGCCAGCCAAGGATCCTCAAGGCTCTGTTATCCTAAGATGACCCTAGTCTGCTGTCCTCTAAGAACCCATTGTTCTCCTCAAAGGACGATTGGCTTGCATCAGAGCTCAGAGAGCTCTTCTTGGCCCAGAGCAAGAGCCCTTAGTGGATCTGATAAGCAATTTTCCAGTATTAAAACTTCTTGAGCAATTTTCCAGTAATTTAGGAACCTCTGAAGATGACTAGTAAATGCTAGGTGGGTAGGTACACGGTTAGGTTTATTGTCATTACTTTTATCTAATAACTTATTTTCTTAAGACTTGGTGTAAAATTTGCTGTGGATGTGAAGTTTGTGGCACTTAACAACCTGCCCACTTCACCTCGACTTCAACTTCATGACGAAAGCACCTGTCACCAGTTGCCTAATCCAGGACGTTGATGCAAGCTTTTGGGCTAGCATCCAATACATTTTCAGCAGATGATCAGTTGAGATTAGAAACAAATCAGCAAGCATATTAGACAAAATGTTGTAAAATTTTGGTGACATGCCAACAATGACGAAACTGTGACATTTGAGGCGCAGAGAGATAGGTGTTTTAGCCTATATTTAACTTACCTTAATGATGTACTTTGCTCTCTGAAGGCTTTGGTATCTTCAGCTAAAAAATTGTGGTCCGAGAAGGTTGATCACAACTAGCTGCACGGCATATAATTCAACGGAACAGATCACACAGCAACAAAGCCGGCCTCGAATAAGTCGAATAAGTTGTGTTCAGTTTGTTCTCTTGCCCGCCTATGTGCTGAAATATTCGACAAATCAGAATCTGTTTGGGGTAAAAGAGACGAAAAACGTTAAATAACATATGACGTCATTTACATAATTTTGATTCCGACAGCAGCACCAACAGGATGGGCCAGAACAGCCATTTTCTTTCCGCTTTCGCGTAGCAGGGAGCAAGCAGGGAGGGCGAGTAGGCAAGTATTGGGCAAGTATTGGGTATTTATCATATTTATATGCCCTGGCAGCTACGCGCCCTAACCCAACAAGAACAAGAAGAAGTATTTATTTGCACTGTGGTATTGCCCGTATTGGGCAAGTAGCAGTTCTCTATATCAATATACCGTATCATACCTAGGGCCGCAAAATGATAAGTATTTCAGTTTCGGCCTTCCAAGTTCCAATTTAAGAATCTTCTTACAATTCAAAGGAATGAAATGGTGACGCTCCGACAGGAGGCTGCGTGAGATTGATAAGCATAATACCTAAGGGTATTTGATATCTGACATAGCCATACTATTGATTCACGGTGAGTCAGAGTGCAACACCCACAGGCTCTGTAACCGTGTTGCAGTATAGATGGCCTTGGTTGCAGTACTCGCCCAGCTAGGCAGGTATAAGACTATACTGAGACTGAAATGTAGCGCTACTAAAGTTGAGCCGCATCAGATATGGTATGGCCTTAGATGGCCTTGGTTGCCTTGGCAGTAGTCATAAAGAAGGTGTTGCACTTGTTTTGGAAACCAAGGAAAGGCGCCATACCTGGAGATGTAGGTTGTAAGTTTGTTGGTTGTAGGTGGTAGTTTGGGTGGAATCTGAAAACAGGGCACCCAGGGTGATTTGATCAAGGATTTTGGAAATCTCTTGGCCCAGTCATGACTCGTGTGACAATTAGACTCTCAAAGGCACCAACAAGGGGAGAGGATCTCAATAATCAGTTATCACGTGACTTAAAATGCCCTCCAGAGTCCAGCACACTATTTATAGATTCCACTGTGCTTTGTAGGTTTTAGGCTGTAGGGTAGGTAGGTTAGGTTAGGTCAGGTCAGGTCAGGTCAGGTTAGGTTACCGTTAGTTTCGGTCTGGTTAGAAAGAAGCATTTAGGTATAGGTAGGTATATGGATAATGGACTTGGGGTAGCAGTATGCTATTTGTTGTCCATGTCATTATTGGCTGGGAAACATGTAAGGGTACTCATTGAGGTTGGAGGTCACAGGTCACAGTTGGCTTTGAGCTGGAGGTGCTTATCTAGCTTATCTAGCAGTGGTGTCACCAGACACAACATCACCTGGTAGCTTGTTCCAGTCATAAGCCACCCTCTATGAGAAGAACCTTTGTCTGGCTTGATTGACTGACTGTTCCTTGTGTAATTTCATATGGTGACCTCTTGTGTTTGTCGTCCTCAGTTTGAAAAAAAAACTTCTCTCTCTTCACATTGAGCTTCCCTGACATGATCTTATAGGTCTCAATCAAGTTGCCTCTTTTATCCTGTCTTTAATAGATATGGTCTTCAGGACTTTTAGTCTTTTCTGGTATAGCCTGTGCTTTATAAACCCCTCACCAATCTTGTAGCTCTGCGCTGGATGTTTTCTAGGAGACTGATATCTTGTTGTTGTTGTTGTTGTTGTTGTTGTGTTTCCCTCCGGTCCCCCACTAGGGGGGCGTAGCCAGACGGCTCAGTTGGGCTCGAAAGCCGACGGCCAAAGCCGCCACCACGCCGTCGTCCTGTAGGTCGGTCATCGTAGGGTGGATCGTGCCCACTCGTGCCAGGCGGCGCCCCGCCAGCGCCGGGCAGCGCAGCAGGACGTGCCGCGGGGTGTCGGCCTCCTCTCGGCACACACGGCACAACGCGGCCGGGCACCTCACGGAGCCGCACTGCTCCAAGACCTCCCGCGCTGGGGGCAAGTGACCGTGTCGCAGTTGCGGACCGGCTACTGCCCCCTGGCACGAGCGACGCTCCACCGCCTGGAGCTCACCCCGGACCCTCTCTGCCGGGAGTGCGGTGCCGAGGACACCGTTCGCCACCTCCTCACCGAGTGCCCAGCATTCGCCACCACGAGACGCCGGCTCTGGGGGGGACCCCTGCCATCCCTCGACGAGGTCCTCTCCGGGCCGGCCGGCAAGATAGTCGACTACATCCGGCGGGTGGGGCGGTCCGAGCCGCCGCTCGACCAGCCCCCGTCCGATGCGCCTGCGGGCGCGTCCACGTGACGTGCGGCAAAGAAAGAAAGAAGCCGCACTGCTCGCATCCAGGCGTCGGTCGGCGGCCGATGCGGTGAACTGATATCTTGAGTCTTGACTGACTGATATCTTGAACAGCTTGGGACCCGCAGCTTGATATGGTAGTCCAGGTGTGGTCTCACATATGAGTTGAAGAGGCTGGTGAAGTTTGTTGCTGTGATTTGGCCAAAGGACCTCTTTATCATTCGGAGAGCTACCATTGCTTTGCTCGCAGCTCTTTGACAGTGACTAGTAGGTCGAAGGTCGTTTGTTATAGTCACCCCCAGGTCTCGCTCCTTATCTGTGACTTCTAGTTTGACTCCTCTAATACTGTAAAATCTATTTGGGTTTTGACACACCTGTTCATGCATCTTTTCCGCACATGTTATGAAAATTTCAGACCCAGGGCTTTCAAGGTCAGGTCACCAGGTCACGTCAAGTGACCTCACCTCAGAAAAATTTTCAATCCTCGTCAGAGCTACAGCGGCTGAACGATCGTCTTGAATCTTTCAGCGATTGATGAGAGTAACAGTATGTACAAAATGTATATCTCGGAATTTTTATATCGGTGACCTAAGGTCAGGTCAATTTTGCGGCCTCTCCATTTGAGTCCATTATAAGTCAATGGGACTTGGGAGGAAATTGAAAAGCGTCTGTTTGCACGAACGCTATTCTAGACACTCTCAAACATCGGAGATGTTGGTAAAATTGACACACTGAACCGGAAAATGGCAACTGACCCCTCGGTATGTCCCCGAGGTCATCTCAGGTCACGAACATAATCTAACAGTTTTTCGCTAATAACTTCTGATAGAGGCGTGCTAGAGCGCTGAAAACGCATTAGATGTGTTCGGCTCGACTTTGCGGACCGACTGATATGCAACATGACCTTTTCCGGTCAGGTCATGACCTTGACCTGAGGTCAAATTTTTAAGTTGACCTTTCAATGTCAACTCATAGTTCATTCGACGCGTCTCGACAAGAGGAACACGATGCTGGCAAAAGTAATGTCATGACTCTTTTGAGTTAAAAGTTATTGCCGGAAAACGCTTTTCGTAAAAACGGCTATTTTTTTAGTTTTTGCCCTCTGGAGGCTAAACCGTTGACCTGAGGTCAAATCTGAGAAGATTACTCAGAAAGATCTGTTAAAAGGCCTATCGAATGCGCTTTTCCGCGGCGCTGTAGCTCTATGGGTTCCCGAGATAGCCGTCGGCAGTTTCCAAAACGTTGAAATAGTCAACATTTTACAATAGTCAACATAGCCTTTGGTGACCTCTGGTGACCTGACCTTTGACCTGACCCAAAAAATGACGGAGTGTTTTCGTCTTTATTTTGGACGTTCTTTGGATTGCCGCTTACCGCGTGTCGCTACGTGGCCCAGGAGCCGAGTTAGAAGGGAGGGGGGGGGGGTGTTCAGACACCCCCCACCCTGGCCCGGCGCGGAATCTCGGAGCACCGGCCCGGCGCGGGTTAAGCACCTGCACCTCTGCTGATTACTAATGTCAGTTGTGTTTTAACTGGCATGCAAATAAGCTCATGTACTCTATGGTGCCTACAATTTTCATGGCAGTGCACATATGCAAGTTTGAAAACAGACAAAAGCTAACAATGGTAAAATTGAATTGTTTGCTGTCTAGTGGGTATTGATCTGGCTGGGCATAATATGAAGCCCACAATTAGGCTGACTCTTTTCATAGTTTTCACCGAGACATCAGCTTGATAAAGTTGCAGCCATGATTTTTTATTGGTTGGGTTTTAGAACAACCACTCAGTCAGACCCATCCGTATTCCATTGTTTCATACTTTTTTCTTAGTTCTTTACTTCAATATTATTGGACATTGTGAACTAAAAATGGATGCTTTCTTAGAAAGTGGAAGGTGGCATGCTATGAGCCATCCTTGCTAATTGTGGCATTGTTGTTCTGTGTTCACCAATCGACAAATTTGTGAAGTTATTATGGAGAGGTGACAAACACCGCAGGTACCTTTGATGACATGGTGGCTTTGTTTCAGATCAATGGCCTCTACAAAAGCCGGGCATACATGTGTGCTGTGCGATAAACAGTTGGAAACGAAAGCGGCACTTCAGGAACACTTCAGGTAGGTCCAGTGGTTAAATGTCTTGTCTTAAGATGAACGTCAATGCTGGATGCCTTCTGAAAGTGGTTATTATCAAGTTAGACACCTCCTGGGGGCGAGAAACGAGCGAGCGCGAGACAGCGAGCGTGACCCCTGCACATGCAGAAGGGCGAAGTGGTATCTCCAACTTGTGCGGGGCACCCATACCAATCGGCCCCTAACGGTGCACCAAAATTGATCGCACTCGGCCCTTATCGTTCTCAAGATGTGATGGCGGCGCCCTGCTCTTGTGCACGTGCAAATTTGGTACCAATTGACTTCTGCACGACACCCTACTAACCATTTCATAACAGTTTATTAAATTTGAGCGCAATCTGGACAGTAGTTCTCGAGATATGGAATTCTCGAAATCGGGACAGTGCCACTCCAACCGTTGCCCGGCGATTGCTTTGATACAGGGCTCTCAAAAGCGTTACTTTACCCTCGCCCTGGGGGGGGGGGGGGAGGGGGGGGTTGAAACGACCCCCCCCCCCCCCCTGATGTTTTTGCGATGAGTGCCGAACCATTAGTCGGATCGTGCTGAAATTTTCAATAGTCTCTGGGGCATCTTTTGCGCAACTTTTGGTAAAAAAATTATTTTCGGGTCATGGCAGGTCACCGAGCTATGACGTCATAATAGGTACAACCTCCTTCACAACCTTTGACAAAATTGTACATTCCGCGTAACTGGACGTGAGCTCATCGACAAGAACGAAACTATTCCGTGTGATTCATGTCAGATTTTCACAGCACATGAATCTTTACATTGTATAATGACCTTTCCAAGGTCAGCCAAGGTCAGTGACCTCGCGTTTTCACATGATGACCTTTGTGATATGAGCTATGTTTAGTGGGGTTTCTTGAGGTCCTGAATCCGAATATGTGGTTCAATTTTCACCTAAACGCCTTCAAAACTATTCGTTGACCAGTTACAGTCGTTTACAGGCAGACTTGTGATCAGCTCAGTTGAGCCGGCTCAAAAATCAGCTCAGCTCATGAGCCGGCTCAACATTTTGCCAAATTGTTGAGCTGTGAGCTGAGCCGGCTCAGTAATGCATTGAGCTGAGCTGCTGTCTGAGCTGAGCTTAATGAGCTTGAGCTGAGCTGAGCTGAATGAGCTTGAGCTGAGCTGAGCTGAATGAGCTTGAGCTGAGCTGAGCTGAGCTGAGCTGAGCTGAGCTGAGCTGATTGAGCTGAGCTGAGCTGATTGAGCTGAGCTGAGCTGAGCTGATTGAGCTGAGCTGAGCTGAGCTGATTGAGCTGAGCTGATTGAGCTGAGCTGAGCTGATTGAGCTGAGCTGAGCTGAGCTGAGCGAGCTGAGCTGAGCGGGCTGAGCTGAGCTGAGCGAGCTGAGCTGAGCTGATTGAGCTGAGCTGATTTAGCTTAGCTGATTTAGCTTAGCTGATCCAGTTCTAGTAGGTACACTGGAAGATGATGAGAACGGATAAAAATATAAAACCGAATGCAATGTGCATTGAATATTGATACACTATAAACACTAGAAACATGATAAACTGGAAATAATATTATATACAAACCAAAGACGTCACTAGGTGAAAGGCCATGTAGTTCGACACCGCAAACTGAAGCGATCGGTCGGGAAATCGCTACGTTCCTCTATTGCACCCCGTTCGCACCGTTGTAAGCCGTTCGGTTGGTATCCTTATCCACTGCAGCGTGATGTCCCGACCTGTGTCCGGATGATTCGATGTCCATGACCATTCAGCACACGCATTGCCGTGACGTCATTGGCCGGACCCCGACACGTTACGGAGATATGGGTGGCATTCGGCATTCGGCAATGGGTGGCATTGAATTTAACTGAGCGGAAACTGAGCTGAGCTGAACGGGAACTGAGTTGAGCTGAGCTTAGCTGAGCGGAAACTGAGGTGAGCTGAACTGAGCTGAGCGGAAACTGAGCTGAGCTGAGCGGAAACTGAGCTGAGCGGAAACTGAACTGAGCTGAGCGGAAACTGAGCTGAGCTGAGCTGAGCGGAAACTGAGCTGAGCTGAGCTGAGCGGAAACTGAGCTGAGCTGAGCGGAAACTGAGCTGAGCTGAGCGGAAACTGAGCTGAGCTGAGCTGAGCGGAAACTGAGCTGAGCTGAGCTGAGCGGAAACTGAGCTGAGCTGAGCTGAGCGTGAGCGGAGCGCAGCCGGTTTGAGCGGAACGTGAGCTGAGCTGAGCCGCGTTAAACTGAGCGGGAGCTGAGCGGGAGCGGATAAGACGGAGTTGAGCTGAGCGAGCTCACTTTTTTTTTGAGCTGTCACAAGTCTGTTTACAGGTTGATGCTCCGCTACTCTTTATCCACCGGGTTCCTATGGCTCAGCATTGGCAGCAGCCGCCTGGTACAAGTAGGCTGTGCCGCATGACCCGAGAGTGAAGCGGCACAGCCTACCCACACTGTATGACACCGGCTCGGGTCGCCTGGAAGAGCGATTTGACCGGACGCTGCGTTACACCGGCTGGGGAGGGGGGGGGGGGGTAAGGGTCAGGCCTGTCTATTTGGCTCGGCTCGGTGGATGAGGTGGGCTGGAGTGTGGTGTGGGGCGGGGGTGATGTGGGGAGTGAGTGAGCGGACCTGGGGCTGGGTGTGTGTGGTCACTTGTCGCATAGAACCGATCGTAATCCACCCTCCAAAAATTCGCTTTAGAGATATTCACAAAACCCAGGGGGGTTCAAACACCCATCTCCCAAGTGGGGTGCGGAAGGACAGGTAAGGGTCCATACGGTCTCCTCATGAATTGCAGCAAAGAAAGAAAACAAACCTGTCACCAAATAATCTTTCTGAAAAGTGGACTAATCGCATAGCCTCGGACACAGAAATAAACATCCAGCACGCGAAGCGTCTCGAACCGGGCCTCTCACTACCGGTCAGTTTGACAGTCTAGCACTCCTACGCTGAGCTACACCGGATGGTGCCTACGGCCGGGGCAAATTCTGGCCGGGCGGGCGGCGGGGCCGGGAGGTCGGCAGCAAAGCCAATGAATGTTTTTGTGGTTTCGGGTGCCGGTTACTCTAGCTTGGTGGAATGATGATGGATTATTGGCAAAACTTTCAACGTGGAGTCCCGGTTCGAGCCTCATCGGGGCACCGGCTACTTTTCCGAGTTACGATCTGGTTTGATTTTAGTGGTTGCGAGCCATTTATACGGTTTTATATCTACATATCGATTGTCGATTGATTGATTGATTCATTCATTCGTTTATTTAATACATGTCGACATTTAGCATACGAATTGACATCCAGGATCAATCCGATCAATCTACCATTTTCATAAGCGTATTGCCTAAATATCATGCATTTATGTGGCACAAGACCTATGGTTGCCTCGATACCGTGACAAATCACGTTTTGCACAATGCGCAAGTAAGTTATATTCGCTGGGTCTTCCGTGCATTGTGCCTAGCAAAAACAGGAATGCCATTGTTAAGCGACGCAAAATGTGCAATGCAGCAAGTGACCACACACACCCGGGCCCTGTTTCACCGGTGATAGCAGCACGCTGCTATCACGTTTCGCGAGCCGACGTCATGTCATGACGCCATACTGTTGACGTGATGGGCAGTTCCGGCGCACGATTGCCGCGACCTTGGCCGCGGAATTAAGTGACGTATGAGCCTTTAAAAGTAAGAGTTTATGCAGTTATGATAGTATATTTATTTACAATATATATTTTTTTAATATGATGTATTTAAAAAAAGTTGATTTTAAGGAAAATTTGGACGTAAACTTCGAACATTTAGTTGATGACGTAAAACAATATTGCGGCAATCGTGCGCCAGAATTATCCCTTACGTCAGCAGTATGACGTCATCACATTACGTCAGCTCGCGCAATTTGATAGTGGCGTGCTGCTATCACCGGTGAAACAGGGCCCCGCCCAGCCCCCATGGTCCACCAACACGCCCCACACCACTCGCCAACCACCGAGACGAGCCCCTCCCCCCGCGCTGGTCTGACGCGACAGCTGGTCTACAAAGCGCTCCACCCGGCGACCCGAGCCGATGTCAAACGACGTGGGTAGACTATGCCGCTTCACTCTCGGGTCATGCGGCACAGCCTACCGGTACCAGGCGGCTGCTGCCAACGCTGAGCCATAGGAACCCGGTGGATAAAGAGTAGGGGACCATCAACCTGTACACGACTGTACAAGGTCAATCCACGTCATTAAGGACCGTCCTCACCGGCGGCGGGTATGACCTCCTGTGTTCCCGGGGACTACGTCACGCCAGTTATAACTGAAATGCGATCAACTCTGCATCATTTTGTTGCTAATTCGTTGAGAAACACGGTCGTGAAAGTTTCATGTCGCTATCTTTCATAGATTCGTCAATATTGGCTACGTAAGTTGGAAAATTAGAGCTTTCCCCGAAATTTGACCTTTGACCTGCCATAACTGGGTCAAATATTGACTTAGGGCAGTGGTCGGCAGGTCATTCGGGGTCGTGCCCCTTTTTTGGGCGCCAGGCACGGCCATTACCCCCACTTACCAGACCCCATTGCTGACACAACCAAGTTTACTGAAATTCCATGCCTTTCTGGAACTCTTTGGGTATTTCTGCATTTCCGATGCATCAAATTTAAAACATGACACTTCCTCCACAAAACATTTAATATATCCCATTTAACCCTCGAACATATAGGGGCGGCGGGTGGTTTTTTCGTTAACCCGCGCCGGGCCGGTGCTCCGCGACTTCCGCACCGGGCCGGGGGGAGGGTATCTGAACACCCCCCCCCTTCTAACTCGGCTCCTGGGCCACGTAGCGACACGCGGTAAGCGGCAATCGAAAAAAAACGTCCAAAAGAAGGACGAAAACACTTCGGTCATTTTTTGGGTCAGGTCAAAGGTCAGGTCACCAGAGGTCACCAAAGGTAAAATGTTGGCTATTTTAACATTCTGGAAACTGCTGACGGCTAACTCGGGAACCGATAGAGCTACAGCGTCGCGTAAAAGCGCATATGATAGCTCTTTTAACGC